CTCAGCCATTTAAAGGAATCATAATCTAACACATACCTAGCTAGATTACTTACTGAAAGTTCTAAGACTCCATTCCTGTTCTGTCTCTGGCAAGAGCAGCATACAGACAGACACAGACCCTTTGTTCCTCTCCCTCCTCCCAGCTTTTGAAAGTATCTTGTCTCCTCATTGGTCATTTTGGTCAGGTGCCAGCGAGGTTACCTTTAGCTTCTTAACCCTTTACAGGTGAGAGGAGCTTTCCCCTGGCCAGGAGGGATTTCAAAGGGGTTTACCCTTCCCTTTATATTTATGACACCCACGGACTCCTGTTTGGAGTTCACCGCAATATTCGAGGAGGGTAAGATGGTGGCCCAGACCTCCTTCAAAGTGACCCTGGACTCGGCGGACTCAGCTATGCAGACCGTGGCCACTGCAATTACTATGCGCAGAAGTTCATGGCTTCAGGTGTCGGGCCTTCCTGTGGAGGTCCAGAATACCATCCGGGACCTCCCCTTTGACTGTGCTGGTCTTTTTGCAGAGCAGACAGACTCATGGCTGCACAGTCTGAAGGATTCTAGGGCATCCCTTAAGTCCCTGGGAATCCACACCCCTCTCCACAGAGAAAGCCCTTCAAGCCCCAGCCTCCCCAGTGCTTCTATGTGGGGAGCACAAGGCAGGACTTAACTTAACAAGGCAGGCAGGAACAACACAAGGAGGCCATCAAGATCCTCCTCTGACCAGGGCCACAGTTCATCCAAACAGCCTCCTGGCCCTTAGCCTAATTTTGTGCCCGAGGACGGAGCACCAGTCTATCTCCTGGATCCTTCTCCCACCTTTGGGAACCATCTGTCCCACTTCCGCCATGCCTGGGCCTAGATTACCTCAGATTGCTGGGTACTGAGCATGGTAGAGGTAGGATATTCTATCCAATTCTGTTCCCTCCCTTCCCCGTCCCTCTTCAGGGACCCCTCTCATGAGCAACTCCTTTTACAGAAGGTGCAATCACTCCTTGCTCTCAGGCCAATAGAGGAGGTTCCTCAGGAGTTTGGGGGAAAAGGGTTCTACTTCCGATACTTCCTCATCCCCCCAAGGCCAAGGGCAGGCTCAGACCTATCCTAGATCTGCGAAACTTCAACATATTCATAAAGAAAGTGAAGTTTCGCATGGTCTCCCTGGCCTCCATCATTCCTTCCCTGGATCTGTGGGACTGGTACGCCGCCCTGTACTTCCACCTCTCCATCATCCCAGATGCTTTCTCCGGTTTGTGATCAACACCCAGCACTACCAGTTTACGATGCTCCCCTTCGGGCTCTTGGCAGTCCCTTAGGTATTCACAAAATGCATGGCCATCGTGCTGGTCTTCCTCTGTAAACATCGGGTCCAAGTCTTCCTGTACCTGCACAACTGGCTCATCAAGGCCAGCTCACAAGCCCTAGCCCTCACTCCTGGCACCTTTCTCAGGTTGCGCCTCATGCTAAAATGTGCCCAAGTCCACAATAACCCCAACGCAGAGGACAGAATTCATTGGGGTTTTCCTGGACTCCACACAAGCCAGGGCATAACTTCCCAAGGCCCGCTTTCAAGTTCTCAGGGACATTAATCAAGAACCTCCACCAATTCCCCACAACCACTGCCAGAAACTGCTGGGGTATATGGCGGCCTGCATATGGTGGTCCAGCATGCCAGGTTGCTTCTCCGTCCCCTACAAATGTGGCTGGCGCAGGTGTACAAGCCCAGTCGGGACTCTCTAGACAGAACAGTCTCACTCCCGCTTCTGGTTCTAGAATTCCTTGGTTAGTGGTTGCAGGGTGGTTGCAGGCTTAGGTGGTCTGCCGGGTGTACCCTTTGCCAAACCGCAGCCCTCTCTAGAGTTAGTCACGGACGCCTCGGCAGTCAGGTATGGAGCGCATCGGGACACTATCAGGACACGGCATGTGGTCCCATGCAGAACTATCGCTGCATATCAATGCCAGAAAGTTGAGGGCAGGTTCCATCACGGATGCGTTTCACTGGTCATGGGCGAATCACCTGCTCTGCGTGTTTCCACCCTTCCCACTCATACACAAGGTCCTCCTCAAAGTCCACCTGGACAGGACCTCATTGATCCTCATAGCGCCGGCATGGCCTGCCAACACTAGTTCATCATGCTGTTGGACCTATCAGTATGACAGACCCATAGCCCTTCCCCTGTTCCTGGACCTTATCACACAAGACCACAGCAGGTTACTACATCCCAACCTGGAGTCCCTCTACCTCACAGAGTGGAAGCTCTATGTGTGAACTTCAATGCTCTGACTTAGCTCAGGAGGTCCTTCTCAGAAGCAAGAAGCCCTCTATTCGAGCCACTTACCTTGCCAAGTAGAAGTGGTTCTCAATTTTGTGTATGCAGAAGGGTACTCATGCATGACAAGCCTCGATCCGTTTTATTTTGGACTACAAGCTCGACTTGAAACAGCAGTGATTGGCAACCTCTTCGATTAGGATTCACTTGGCCGCCATCTCTGCTTTTCACCCGGGGCGGAGCGTAGGTCAGTCTTTGGAAACCCGATGGTAGGCTGCTTCCTCAAGGGGCTGTATAGACTGTATCCACAGGTGAGGCAGACTCTTTCTCCTTGGGACCTCACTAGTTCTCACCAGGCTTATGGGGCCCCCCCTTTGGGCCCATGGTGACATGTTCCTTGCTCTGTCTGGGAATGTAGCTTTCCTCGTGGCCATCGCCTCAGCCAGAAGGGTCTCTGAACTCAAGGTGGTGACATCTGAGCCCCCTTGCACCTTGTCTTTATAAAATACAGTGTAACTATGCCCACACCCTGCATTTCTCCCTAAGGTAGTCTCTCAATTCCATATAGATCAGGACATTTTCCTACCTGTGTTTTTTCCCAAGCCGCATGCCAATAACAGAGATCACATGCTTCATTCCTTGGCTGTGAGACAAGCCCTCATTCTCTATACCGAGCACACAAAGCCGTTTCAGAAGTCCCCACAGCACTTCATCACTGTCACAGAGGATGAAATGGCTTTCCATCTCCTCCCCGTGCATATCATTCTGGATCACATCGTGCACCAGGACTTGCTACGACTTGGCCAAGATTCCAGCCCTGACATTGACGGCGCACTCTACAAGAGCTCAAGTGTCATATGCCGCTTTCATGCTCAAGTGCCTATTCAAGATGTATGCAGGGCAGCCACATGGTCCTCTATCCATACCTTCACCTTGCATTACGCAATTTTGCAACAGTCCAGAGATGACACAGCGTTTGGCAGGGCAGTGCGACAATCTACGACCAGATGAACTCCGACCCTCTCCTCCAAGAGTATGGCTTAGGAGTCACCTAATTGGAATGGACATAAGCAAGCACTCAAAGAAAAAATGGTTACCTACCTCTCGTAACTGTTGTTCTTCGAGATGTGTTGTTCATGTCCATTCCAAATTGCGCCCGCCTCCCCTCTGTCAGAGTATTCTGGCAAGAAGAAACTGAGCAGGCAGCGGGTCGGCAAGAACCTATATTATAAATAATTTCCCAACTCAAAGTGTTGCAGCCCACACAGGGGAGTTCTTAATTAGATCTCGTCCGAACCGATAAAGAGAACTGATCACAGAACTAAAAATTAATGGTAGCTTTCGTACAAGTCATCATGAATTGATCACATTTATAAGGTTCAAGCAGAGTAAAATCCAGATCAGTAATATATATACTTGGTGCTTTAATAGGGCCCAGTTCACAAACCTGAAAACAACGGAGAGCCAAGTCAGCTGGGAAGAAGAATTTAATCCAAAAAATGTGAACGATAAATAGGAGTTGTTTAAGAATAGCTTACTACAGGGGTGGGCAAACTTTTTGGCCTGAGGGCCACATCTGCATGGGGAAATTCCATGAAGGGCCATGAATATAGGGCTGGGGCAGGGGGTTGGAGTGCAGGAGGGGGTGTGGTGTGCAGAAAGGGGCTTGGGGCAGAGGAGGGGTGCAGGCTGTATGAGGGGGCTCAGGGAAGGGGGCTGGGGTGCAACAGGGGCTGTGGAGTGTGGAAGGGGGCAGGGGGTTGGGGTGCAGGCTTCGGCCTGGTGCTGCTTACCTGTAGTGGCTCTGGGATGGCAGCAGCATGCACTGGGGCCAGGGCAGGCTCCCTGCCTGCCTGCCCTGGCCCTGCTCCGCTCCCAAAAGTGGACGGCACCACGTCCCTGTGGAAGAGGAGGGCAGAGGGCTCCATGCACTGCCCTCTCCTGTGGGTACCTCTCCCAAAGCTCCCATTGGCCGCGGTTCCCCGTGGGCCGTAGTTTGCCCACCCCTGCTTTACTAGATTACCAGAAAGCCACAATCAAGGAAGAAGGCCAAATAGGTTTTAAAAAAAGACCTTATTTAGAGAGGAAGTGAAGCTGTAAAAAATAAATTATTAACAAATGGAAGAAAAGGGAAATTGACAGTAATGAATATAAATGAGAAGTTAGGAATTGTAGAAAATAGATAAGGGAAGGAAGGGACACAATGACAAATGGCAGCAGCATTAAGGACAATGAGTTTAATTTTGTTTCTAATATTAAAAAATCCTGATAAAGGTATTGGTCCATTACTAGATGGAAATGGTAGAATTATCAATAAGGCAGATGCTTTCAATAAATATTTTTGTTCTGGGGGGAGAACAAATTATATAGTCTCGCTATACGGCGATAACACATTTTCCATTCCACTATCGTCTCTGGAGGATGTTATTGGAATTTATGAATATCAATCATACAGGACACCAAACATTAACCATAAATTCCTTTATAAGTAAGTCCAAATGTTATCTATACTGTTGCTCTAAACACGCATAAAGCTTAGCTAATAAACATTACTACATTCCATACAACAACAAAACATAACTATCTACAGTACATACTTTCAAGAGGACCAGATGGGAGAAAATTCTTTTCACACTGGTTTTCTCAGCATAATTGGACTGGATCTAAAAGAACTTTCAGCTTCCTGGCTCTCTCTATACCAGTCAGCCCACTTTCTAGCTTTAGCAAAAACACAGTTTGAAGCAGTTTATTTTCTCTAAGCCTTTTTTCTTTGTCTCCTCCCCTCTCCTTGCTTACCAGTAGTTTTTTTGCTTCTGTTGCCATTGGTTACACATAGGCCTCACTTTAAGATAGCACTGGTATGTGAGAAAAAAACTGGGCTTGCTTTTGAGAAGGGTTCTTCTTTGTCTTGGTTATTGCAGCTTCCTGTTTTATTAGTTTTTTGAACCAGACATTCTTTCCTCGTTGCATTCTGGTCTTTTGACTTGTTATTCTTGTGGCCTTCCTTTACTGGATGATTAAGGCCTTATTCGGTTACAAGCCACAAACTATAAAGCAAATATATTATTTCCTTAATCAAACTTAAGCTCATTTTAATTCTTTATTTTAATAACTATCCCTACAACTGTTAAACAGAAGCTACTAAAGTTACATTCTTTGAGATCCACAGGTCTGGATAACTTTCATCCAAGAGTTTTGAAAGAGATGACTGAGAAGCTCATTGGACTGTTACTGTTGATTTTCAGTAAGTCTTGGAGCACTCGGAAGAAAGCTAATATTGTGCCAGTTTTTCAAAAGGATAAAAGGGATGACCTGGGTAATTATAGGTCTGTCAGCCTGACATTGATCCTGAGACAGATACTGGACTTGAGGGTAATATAATTAATGCAAATCAGCATGGGTTTAGGGAAAATAGATCTTGTCAAACTAAATGATTAATTTTTTTAGATACAAGTTTGGTTAATAAAGATAATGATGGTGGCATAATATACTTAGATTTCTATAAGGTGTTTGACTTAGTACTGCAGGACATTTTGATTAAAAACTAGACATACTGTATATACTCGATCATAAGCCAATTCGTTTATAAGCCAACCCCCACAAGATGAAGAAGTAAAAATGGAAAATTTTTTATGACCCATTCATAAACCGACCCTATAATTCAGGGGTCGGCAAACTTTGGCTCCTGGGCCATCAGGATAAGCTGCTGGTGGGTCGAGATGGTTTGTTTACCTTGAGTTTCCACAGGCACAGAGGTAAACTTAAGTAAACAAAGTGTCCCGGTGCGCCAGCTGCTTACCCTGACGGGCCAGGACAGCAACTGGTGGGGAAATTTTTTTGGGGGGGTGGGGGGGAGAAACTGGGGGTCAGGGGAGTAACCCATGACCACCCCCCACATGATCCCACCCCTAGCCCGGGACCCCCACACTCTCCCCATCTCATCCCTTCCCACCTTATCTGAAAAAGATGTGGGGATCATGGTGAATAATCAGCTGAATGTGAGCTCCCAGTGTGATGCTATGGCCAAAAGAGCTAATGCACTGCTGAGATGCATAAACAGGAATCTTGAGTAGGAAGTGAGAGGTTATTTTAACTTCCGGCTGCAAAAGATCACAAGAAATTTAGGGGTAAGATCTGGGCCAGAGCCATACCTGCTTCGACCCTTGGGTAATTTGTTCTCTGTATTGTGTTCACACAGTTCTTGATTTTGAACACTGGTGGATAACACCTGAGCCTTACTATGGCTACTAACAGCCATTTCTTAGGACTCCGGCTAAAGAGGGTAGATCAGAAGGAAGAAGAGTTGTGTACAGGAATTGTCTCGTACACAGCTGCTCACTTTGTCAGTCATAGTGAAGTTTTTGTAGAAGAAAATATTTGTTTCTTAGGAAACATCTGCTTCCTATTTTTGCTTCTGCTAGGGAAATAAATACTTCTTGAATAGCCTGTATTAGCAATCTATTAGTTGTTATTATGCTGGCTTTTATAGTGGGGGGTGAGGTTTCTGCATTCTCAGTTACTAATTTCTGTTTCCCTTAGCTTCTCACCTGTAAACTAGGAGGCCCAGGTATCAGTTTAGGATGACTGATAGCTATGCATGAGTGTAACACAGCTTCCTTGCCCCTGCTAGGAGCCATTGCTTGTCACAAGGTTTTGACTATAAAAGAACCACTGATGTCTCATTCCAAGTAAAGAACATACCCTAAGTCCATGAACCATTTTATTAAACATAGAAAAAAATTTTTGGTCTGAATGGCTTTAGCTGAGGCTTTGAAATGTGTGAGGCACATCTACACTTACGATTCTATAGCAGGGGTGGACAAACTTTTTGGCCCGAGGGACACATCTGGGTATGGAAATTGTATTGTGGGCCATAAATGCTCATGAAATTGGGGCTTGGGGTGTGGGAGGAGGTGAGGGCTCCAGCTGGGGGTGCAGGCTCTGGAGTAGGGCCAAAAATTAGTTCAGGGTGCAGAAGGTGGCTCCAGGTTGAGGCAGCGGGTTGAGGGCTCCAGCAGGGGGTGCAGGCTCTGGGGTGGGGTTGGGGGTGCAGGAGGGTGCTCTGCACTGGGACTGAGGGGTTCAGGGCTGGGGGTAGAGGCGTGGGAGGAGTTCAAGGGTGCAGGCTCCAGGCAGCGCTTACCTCAAGCAGCTCCAAGAAGCAGCGGCATGTCCTATGTGGAGGTGTGGCCAGGCAGCTCTGCATGCTGTCCCATCCACAGGTGCTGCCCCTGCAGCTCCCACTGGCCGTGGTTCCTTGCCAATGTGAGCTGTAAGGGCAGCACTGGGGGGGGGGGGGGGCGCAGCATGTGGAGCCCTCTGGCTGCGCCTACGCTTAGGAGCTGGAGCGGGGACATGCCACTGCTTCTGGGAGCCATGGCACACATGGAGCGGGGCAGGTCCTGGACCTTACTCCCCAGCAGGAGCTCGAGGGCCTGATTAAAACATCTGAAGGGCCATATGTGGCCCCCGGGCCGTAGCTTGCCCACTCCTGTTCTATAGGATGTTTTGGAAGGAAGTCCCCTTCTGAAGGTATGACTGTCTCACTGGTGGAGCTGCAGCTGCACCAGTCTTAGGTTACTAAAACTTTTGGAGTTACTTTGTTTTTATACATTAGGCTTTTGGTTAGTATGTGCACAGTACTTCCCCTGCCTTTTTACAGAAGGGAGAGAGCATGCCATGCAGCCTGGTCTGAGGATCCCTCAGCCAAGGGGAGGTACTAGTACAAATAGCTTGATTAGGGGGAATAGACTGCTGGATAGTACCAGGAGCTTTCTTGTTTCTTGAGGCTGGCTAGCATCCCTAGAAATACTTTAGGGAAGACTTATTACCACTTCAAGGTTTACACAGAAAATGGCAGTAATTTGAATATGAGAAGGAATTTCTTACTTACCTCTTTGTAATCCTACAATGGTGCAGCTGCATGTAGAATAGAGTCCTCATCTACCTTTGTTCTTGTCACAGACTAACTGAAGTGCTCTTTATGCTTTAGCGTGGAGCCAGCCTATTCAGAGGTGCAGAGAGGGAGGCCCCTTTCCCTGGCAGAGCAGGAGTTCATGGGCTGAAAACCAGCATGCAGTGAGTTAGATAGAGCGCTGACCTTCTGAGGAGAAAAATCTAAAACAGAGGTTCTCAACCTTTTTCTTTCTGAGGCCCCGCCAGCATGCTGTAAAAATGCCATGGCCCACCTGTGCCACAGTAGCTGGTTTTCTGCATATAAAAGCCAGGGCCAGTGATAGGGGGCAGGAAGCAGGGCAACTGCCTGCGACCTCACGCTACAGGGGCCCCTGCAAAGCTACATCGCTCAGGCTTCAGCATTAGCCCTGGGTGGTGGGGCTCAGGGCCCTGGACTTCAGCCCCTTGCGGTGGGGCTTCAGCTTTCTGCCCTGGGCTCCTGTGAGTGTAACACTGGCCCTGCTTGGTGGACCCTCTGAAGCGTGTTTGTGGCCCTCCAAGGGGCCTCAGCCCCCTGGCTGAGAACCAGGGATCTAAAACTCTGGGGAGGAGGGGGAGAGAAAGGGTTAAAAAATATCAGGGTTTAAACCTACATACTCATTGGCAAGGTGAACTGCCGCCTGATGGCTGTTTCTCTGAGACTCAGAGCCTCTAGGGTTTGCAAGACTGACCCCTGAGCAGGCTGTGAGGGATTTCTCCTCCTGCTGGGCATGCTTATGCTCATGCTCCTGGCTGAGCCTCCTCTGTGGAGTCATGGCTTCAGGTAGAGATCAAGGATTTACGAACTGTCCAACTGAAAACCTGTGTGGACAGCTTTCAGTAGCAGGGCATGGCTCCCCTCTGAGGGTCCTGAAAAGCTGCCTATACCACCTTTAAGTTGACTCAGTGCTTGTAAGGCTGCTGCAGTGAGTGGCAGAGGAAGCCTGCCCCAGGGGTGTACCAGAGATGCCAGAGGATTAGAGCTTCACTACATTGGTCGTTCTTCACCTCTGGAAAGCGAGAGGAGCTAGAAGCTGAAATGAACTAGCTACTGCACAAAAAAATTAGTTCTAAAACCAAGTGGTTGGGAGATAAACCACCAACTAATTCCACTGCTGGAGGCAGAGAACAGGGTAGCCTGAGGTGAAGGGCAGGGCTGAGTCCTGGAGCCTCCACCAACATTGGACTACGTGTGAGTTCTGTTAAGTGGGAGGTCTTACCCATTAGTAAAAATTAAGGAGACACGCCACACAGCAGAAGTTAAAGGTCATTTATGCTTCCCTGAACAATGCAGGTTTAAAAAGCCAGTCCTCCCTTCTGCTGTAGTTCTTTTAAAACTATTTAAAATTGTAATTTGAAAGAGTCTTCTCATAACAAAGGAATCCTCTCTGGGTCTTGACTGATGGATTAACCACACCCACAAAAGCAGATGTATGTCAGTTTCCATGCCAGACTGCTCCTCTATGAGCATACTGGAACTGCATCAACTTTCCCCTGCCCCCTTCCTCCAGTTGAGTTAGTGCCACAGCTTCATATTCTAGAAAAACATACATTCTCCAGGCTGCGCTAAGAATAAAGCTTGGATTCTGAGTGAGATTTATTTAGGAGATGATAGAGAAGGAATAGCCACAGCTGTTAACAGAAGATAGTAATGAAGCCTTTTTTTCTGTTGGGACACCACTATACAGCAGCACAAGTACTCTCATTTAGTCTGCCAGGAGACCCTCATGCCTAGCACCCTCTCAGGGAAAGACCCTGCAGGAGTGGAGCATTCACCAACCAGTAGTCACACCAATGAATGGTCAGAATGTGGCTGCATGCTCTACAGACCCTGTGGCAATGTCTGCTACCAAAGTTGGGAGCACAGCACCCCTGTAACTCCCTGAATGGTCAGCTGTTACTGATGACAAAAACAGAGCTGGGCCAGTTTGACTGCTACCATAGATTCAACAGCTCTGTTGGTTCACAGATGCAAGGGGTCTCTCTTTTGCTTATGATCCAACCACAGGACTTACCTTTCTCCATATCTCCGCAGAACCTCACTCAGCTCTCTTCTGAGACTAGACCAGTCATTCAATCCTTAGATAGGCACTCTGGACTCTGAAAACCTCTAACAAAGGGTGGCAAACCAGTCTTTTTCCATTAGGGCTCAACACTTTTGCTACCAAGGGTGCAGGTATCACCACTATTTCTTAGGACAGCTGGGAAGAGAAAATGTAAGGGTTTACATCCAATAACCTGTTGAGCAGAGCAGCTGAAGACAACTGTTGCAACTGCAGCAGATCAGAACGGTGAAGCAGTTGCAGGGCTTATACAGGGGAAGCAATTTAGGCACCATCACACTAAGGCCTGCTCTACACTTATGTTTTACCAGTGTAATTTTTGGCAAGGAAAATGATTTTGTTTGTTTGTTTAAATAAAGTTAAACTGATCATCCGTGGGCTTTTATAAGAATGTTTGTAGGAGTATAGCTTATTCCTCTTCCCCTACAGGAATAAACTGTACAAATACAATTATACCAGTATAACTGAATCCATGCTAGTTAAAGCAGTACACCTTTTATGTTTAGATGAGCCCTATGTTTTATTTGCTTCCAAAGTGTTCGTTAATCCATCAGTCAGATCCCAGATCAGAAGATTCTTCCATGAGACTAAAAAGTTATTAAATATTGTATAGGAGAAGCTCTTCAGGAAACCTTGGCCTCCAGTGATTGATGGCATATTGAGAAATGCCCTTCTGTAGACCTACAGTTACCCCGGTTGTATTGCGTCAGAAAAAAGGGCTGGATATTACTGCAGGCAGTTGTAGGTTATTGAGATCAGCCTTTTGTGAATTCCTTAAAAGGTAGGATGAAAACAAAAAGCTATTTGACAAAACAAGTTGTCCTTTAATGTATGATCCAAAATCAGCATGTCTTAAAAAAGCTCATTCTCTCTACTTGGGGGGGAGATAGGTAACATGTATGGAGTCTCACTGTGAGAAGAATCAATCCTGCCCTCCCAACACCACATGAATTGAAATGACCTACGTAACAATAGTCTTCATTGCTGTGTTATATAAGCCCTTACTTTTAAGGAAAATCACAACTGAACCACACTAAAACAGTATCCTGAGTGAAAGTTTGCACAAGTTCAAACTATCAAAACCAACTAACCAGAAAAGCAGACAAGAGAGAATCCTTGTTAGAACGTTTTGGGAACCGATTTCCCACTGAATAGGGCTGTTACTCATGTATTAGTAAAAGGTTAAATAAGGCAACCAAGAAACTAAGTTAAAAGATCACTAAGGCATGGTTTAAAAAAAAACAAAAAAACCCCTATGATTATCATATACTGTTTAAGGACCATCTAAAATCCTGAGTTCAAAGAGTTGAGTCACAGACAGAGGCTTGAAATGTAGGCCAGATAAATTAGGGAGAAATGCGTATTTTCTGAATACAAGGTGATGCACTGTAGCTATCAATGTACGCTTTGGATGTATTGGGGAATCCTGCAATGTGACATCTGAGGAGGAATATTTCGTAGAATACTTTTACACAATGTTAACATGAATAAAGTCAGCAAGCGTGACAGAGTGGTGGGGCTGGAGAAAGCCGGATGACTTGGTTATGGCCCACTGCATCCACCCTAAGTATCTAAAAAGCCACTGCTTTCCCCACAGAGGCCCTGAATAAGTGAAGCCACACTTACTGCAAATGACCCCAGCTTATGAACTCCTATGGTTCACCAGGTCAGCCTTTCAGTGTCTGCTAAGGCCTATCTCCCTAGTTCAGCAAGCTGTGTGCAGAGCACAAATGCAGTCAAGACAGTACTGGAGAATGAAATAGCCAGCAACATTAAAGTTCTTCATCAGCCTCTATTAGACCGAACTTAAGACAAATGAAGACAAACAAATCTGGGGCAACTAGTACAAGTAGTATGTTCCAAAAGTGTGGGTTTTAAAATGTCGCCAACACAAACATTAGAAAGGGGAAAAGATTAGTGAGACCATTACAAATCTATTTTTGAATAATTAAATGTAGCAACTTTTTAATCCATAAAAATACTTTGGAAAATTCTTTTAGGTTTGCCAAATTTGGTATTAAGTGCTTTCATTTTAGTCTGAAAGATTATTCAAATCGCTACTTTAAGTAAAAAATCTTAGTGCAACCTGAACTACAGAGCTGCTACCACCACTTCTATCTACAGTAAGTGGTATGGTAGTTATTTATTCGGCCACAGTATTTAGGACAAGACCTTCATAGTTATGTTTTCCCACATGATAATGTTTTGCAAACAAGATATAATTTCCTGTAGTCCATGCTGGTTTGGTACTTGGAAGCTGCTCATTAAGTTTGAAGTATCTGGTTCATAGGGGATAAAGTTAAACAGCAAAAAAAATCAAAGGGACAGTGTAAATATTTCTAAGCCCCCAATCTGAAATATTAATATGGGTGCAAATGCCAAACATTAACACTGGATAGAAACTGCTTTATATATGTTCTATATATGAGCCACAATTTGAATTTTAACACCAACATTTTAAGAAGCATATCTTGTCTCATGAATGGCTGGAAGAGTCAAGGGTTACTCTACTACACCAAAAACGTACACAAGCAATGTAACCAAAAATCAAACTGTTGCTATTAGAATGTACACGTTATTTCTTGAAATTTATACCTTTATTTCTAATTCTATTTATGAAGATCAAGAAGTCCGTCCCCTCACAGTGGGACTGTATAGTGGGACTTCTGAATTAGCATTTTATGGAGACCATTCCACATAATTTTTCCTTCTGACACTTGATAAGCATTATATGGTAATTTGGTGTAAGCAGACATGAATTTACTCAATCATAATCTCAATCATAATCTCAAATATGTCATCAAGCTGAACTTCCAGTTTCACTAAACAAGTACAGCTTTCAAACATGCACGGCTCATGACTCATCTTAACAGCCCTTAAACAAGCTAACTTCCTATCGCCAAGCCAACTGCCGAAAGTAGAGAAATTCATAGCTATACTCTTTCCCACCACAAAGCACACCAAAACTCATTTAGATTCAGTCTTTTTTTTAATAAATTAATGTCATTCAAAATACAGTGCCAGAACATGATGCAGCTGAACATGCTAGTAAGGTTGTCATGAAGCACCTGTGTTCATGTTAGATTGGCGGCGCCCCGCTACTGCTAGTGGTTCCTGGGATTAATGCCAGAGCAGCACTAGTCATCTGCTCTCCTGCACACAGCGTACAGAATATTCCTGAACAATTCGCTCCCCCCCAAAAAGTAAAAAACCTGATAGCTAAAGGATATCTATACACAATCACACTACAGTAATGCTTGTTATTAAATTAACAAAAAATAAAGACCTGGTTAATCCACACTAAAACTTTGTTTTACATTGGAAAAATACATCAGCAGCAGGAAGTATTATACATGAGCCAATGTTACTGTAATACAGAATGTGGAGGCATTTATTGATTAAAGCTCCACACAGACCCGCACTATGAGTGGCTGGCAATTCCTATTGCAAGCCCAGCAATTTAAGTCCACATCTGGTAAACCACCAGCTGCTTGGAAGACCTGTATTCTAAACAGACAGGTATAAGTTAGTGAAAATAGAATACATGCACTTAATACACCTTGACTGAACCCGCAGTCATTTTGCCCTGCATGTTACCATACAAAGGAAGATCTACCCTTCCTACCACAGGTAGATCCATGGGATTTGTTTATTTTTCTTTTATATGACGTTACTATACCGATACGGATATTGGTGTTAAGTGCAGCACATTCCATTACTTAGGCCACATTGAAAATTATATAACGAGCACTAAAGTAGAATATCCAGAAGTAGTTCAAATATAACTGGAAGATATTTTCAGAACAATTGTGACATACCATCCTAGCAACAATAACTGCTGTGATTCTTCTTGAACTGAAAGACTTCATAGGACTAGAAATTAATTCTTCAGACAGTAGTCAGATGCTTAAGCTCATGATATACATATAGGTTTCTCTCAATTATCAGATAGTATCTCAGATTATGGAAGCATATCTGCTTATAAAAGTCACTGATTCATACTGAATGACTCCAAATGTTAAGTAGGGCATAAAAATACAATTATGAAAAACAGGTTTAATGTTTCAATTTCCAGCCCTGTTCTTTCATTAAAGTTTCTATTTCAAGGTAACTGAGCCCAGAAGCAGGTGTGCAGTCTCTAATTTGGGAGCTATACGGGTGGCAGGGTAACCATCTCCCCATCCAGCTCAAACTCATCAGCCCCATCTGGTGAAAAGAGATATGTTGGAGGTTTCCATGGGGACTCTTCAAGGCAAGATGGATACAGCTTACCTACAGTGCATCGGAAGTCTTTTCCTAAGTCCCAGAGCACACGTTCTGATATATGCTGTCGTAGAGACCACCGATCAAGCTCCAGATCATATTGGTAGGTGGCATACTTGGCTCTCTCATTCATGTGGGTTTCTCGTATGAAGACACATAAAGAATTGGAGATTACAACAGCTCTAACACAAGGGTCAGAATACCGCTTGGCAGGGATATTAGCTGCCATTCTCCATTCATTTTTATTCACATCATAGACTTCCACAGTTACGGAAGACCCATCTACAGTGCTAGTTGGGAGTCTTATACCAGAATTGCTGCCAATATGCAATCCTCCAATATAGAATATTTTGTCACCAAAAGCAGCAGCAGAAGCAAAGCATCTACTAGTTTGTCTCATAGCCATTTCTATCCAAGCATCTGACCTGGGAAAATAACAGTACATCAAGTTGTGGGCCATTACATAAATGCAGTTATGAACTGCTACTGCTGTACTCCACTGCCATGCACAAGGCAATGGGCTTACCATGGTCCATTCATCTTTCTCAGTATCGTATCTTTCCACAGTTCTTCTGTTGAGTTCTCCACCTACGCTATCTCCTCCAATTGCATAGATGTATCCTTCACAGCAGACCAAGGATGGCTTTATACGAACAAACAACATTGGAGTCTTTGGAAACCAAGTGTTTTGCTGTGCATCAAACCAGTAAAAGCAATTCACAGTTCTGAAGGCAGCCTGAAGTTTGCTAGTTTTACTGTGATTGGTTTTTGTGTTTTTCAGAGGAACTTGCCCACCTGCTATATAGATATCATTATCAGGAGTTACAAGTGTTCCAACCTTATGCAAGTCAGCAGGAGGATTGCAAAGCTTGTAAACTTTTTCTGCCTGGGGGCTATAACAGACAGAAGAGTAAAGACTACCAGGGTTTTCAGCAGCAGCTTCAATGAATATCATCATCTCCTCTTTAGTCATACCAAGTCTTGGTTTGAAAAATTTGGGCATAGATTTGTATAATCCTTGCACCACCACCGATTTATCATTAGGTGGTAATCCTTGAAACCAGGATCGCTGTGTTACTTCTGAAAGTGCATCAATTCTGATTTGGCTAAGAACAGAGGACAAATACTGTGATCGTGATTCTGTGTTGTATTCCAGCCATAACATAGCAGCTTCACGAACTGTCTCCTCTTTTTCCACATTTAAGTTGTCACTGCTTAAAACATCTATCAGTAGATCATGTGACAGTTGCATAAAAGCATCTTGGTGGTACACAGCAGTGAACTTGTGCTCTACCATTCTCTTAGCACTTTGTTTTAACTCTTCACAGCTGAAGAGATCAGCAAAACTTAGTAACCGCACACAGTTCTCTGCATTTATTTTTTTAATTAAATATTCTCGGCATCGCTGTAACACATCTTCTACCTGTAATGCAAAAAAAAAAAAAAAGCCAGACAACTTAAGCACAGTAGACAAAGACCTATTCTTTTACCTACAAACAAGATGCAAAAAAATACAAAAAAGGAAGAATGCTGCACTGACACTGCTAGTCACAACAGGTTTCTGAGCCAACACCACGTCGTTCCACCCAGAAAGATACATGAAATTTGACTACACAATATGATTTTTTAAAACACTGCCATGTTTACCTGACATGCAAATTGTTTGACCCTCTACATGTTTGTGCATTTTACTTAGCTTCGTACAAAAGTAAAGTGCTAGAAATTGTGTTTAATTCTATTCCTTCAGAAACCATAAAAATAGGTAGGCTGTGGGATTATTCTGGTAATGGCTGCCCACACTAATGAACAAACTTGATAGTAATTTTAAAAATTATTCTCTCTTTTTTAAAAAAAGGAGACAGATGGGTATTTAATTGAAATTTAAGGAAAAAAATTAGAACCAGATATTTTGGTACAGAGATTAAGCAGTTATGCATTTTTACTCAAAATACACATGATGTTCCTACCTGTAAGAAGCAAGCAGTCTCATAAAGCTGTTCTACCGTGCTGTCACTTATTGCCAAGTTACCCGTGTATGCATAAGTTATTATAATTTGTAAAGTGGCTGCATCCACATTCCTTAGATGTACATGTGTTTGTTTACTTTCACTTAGCCCACTCATGAACATGGCCCTGAAGAGAAAAATACCACATTAAGACTGTAATCTTAAGTAACTGCATTTAGTTATTTAGCCACTCCAACCAAAAAGGAGAAAGACGCCTAAAAATTTCTTGTCATTTCATTCCAACTTTAAAAATTCCTAATGTGATTTTCCATTTACATTAATGTAGTACTTACCTTAGATCACGCAGCGTTTAAGATAAATGTTTTAACAAAGTTTTTCCAATTATATTAGTAACTTCCATGTTCCCTATGCATTAAAATCTAGTACTCAATGTTTATGTAAGCTACCATATCATTTTTACTCCTGTGGGAATTCTGCACCAAAAGATTAAAAATTCTGGATTTTAGAATTCTGCAAAATTTTACATATTTTGTCAAAATAACACAATATAATCATACCAGTTTCAATTATTTTGGGTCATTTCAAAATGTTTTTTGACAAATAGATTACTCACTAGGCATATTAATACAGAACTCTGAGTAATAATTCAATTAAACTACAATACAGAACCGCATTTCCTGCACCCCTCAGAAGCAGTGCAAAGGCTTGAGGGAGTCGGGGTAAGGGAGGAGTTGAGGGAGAAGGAAGCAAATTGCTGGGAAGGAGCCTGGGTGTGAACTTGGAAGGTTGTTGGGTACGGGTGGGAAAAGTATGGAACAGATTTTTTGGGAGGCGATGGGGAGGGATTGTTAGGGAGCTTCGCCCATGCAGACACTGGCTGACCCCTAGCCTCTCCCATTCAGTAAGGCACATCTGCCCCGTCCCCATGCGTTCGTGCACCCCCATGTGTCCTTGAACCCTCTGTCCATGTGTCCCTCCACCCCCACTCAGACACCTACTCCCTCCATCCCCCTGTGGCCCTGAATCCCCTTGTGGCTCTGTGCCACATCCCAGCCACTCCTCAGGCCCTATGTGGCTCTGTACCCCCTCCCCATGTGTCTGTGCCCCCACTAAGCCACCCTGTCCCTGGGTGTTCCTGTACACACTCCCCCTGTCCCCATGTGTCTCTGTGCCCCCACTGAGCCACCACCTGTCCCTATGTGTCCCTGCATCCCCTCCCCATGTCTGTGCCCCCACTGAGCCACCCTCTGTCCCTATGTAGCTCTGCACCCCCACCCCATCACTGTGTGACCTGGCACCTCCCTCCCCCCTCTGCCTCCACTCCCATTCAGCCCCTGCCCCAGTCTGTCCTCCTGCACTAGCCCTTATGAGCCCCTGTCTACCCCGCCTGCCCCCCAGCATCCCAATAGGGTAGTCCTAAATCTGCACATCAAAAATTGTTGAGAGACAGAATTGCCTTTCCTCCTCCACTAATAGGACGCAATGGGTGGGGTGTGATGAGCTCCCCACTCAACCCCCAATCTTCCAGAAGCCAGAGAGATTCTAGGGCTTTAATATCTAAACAACCAGAAACTGAGTCCATGAGCAAGAGTCAAGGACAGCACC